CTTTTCTAGATGTTGATGAATGTCTTAATAGTCCATGTAAAAATGGGGCAACATGTATTAACAATGTTGGTAGTTATACATGTCACTGCGTTACGGGCTGGTTAGGAGATCTTTGTGATAAAGGTACTTGTTATTATAACATTACTTACGGCCTGATTATATGGAGCGAGCTGGAACAAACCAGACGGTAGAACAGGGCCAGCCCGCTTCATAAAATTAGGCTCCTAATTTGATTACATTATTTAATATGACTGTAAAAGAAACTAAGAACACATTGCAGTCCGTAATCACTGGAAAAAATCGCGCGCTTTAAAGGTTGTAACTTTGATGTAAATATGATGTAAGTGTCCAAAATTCTGTAAATTTGATGGAAATGATTTCCATTAAATTTACAGAATTTTGAACACTTCTACATGATATTTACATCAAATTTACAATCTTTAAAGCGCGCGATTTTTTCCAGTGAATCAGTCATTTCACTGTCAACAAGAAAATGCCTTTTGTTTTCTATATCGACACTTACAAACGCCTGAGATATTGCCAACTTCTTCTTAGTTAATATATTTTGCTTAAGATATCGACGAGTGTTTTTTGAAAAACCCATGCAAGGAAGAAGCAGTATGTACAAACACACCAGGAAGTTACGAATGTGCCTGTGCAGAGGGCTGGCAGGGAGATTACTGCGACCAAGGTAGGGTAATGCTTTTATTTCAGGTATTGTCAGTGCAGGCTCCAAAATGTTTTCGCGCTGACATCTAAGTTTCGAGTTTTTCTTGCAAAAAAAATTACTACAATGTGTGCAAACATAGGACACAGAAAAGTTAAAAAACAATTTGTGATGCTAGTCGTCTGAGGCACACTGAAACGCAACGCAAACTGGAATAAATCAGAGCGAAAAGAGTTGTTGCAACAGTGTCTTACCTCATCTTTACAAACCTTTCTAGCTTTTAATTTAGTTTCTGCATAGTGCTGAATAATTTGCTTTTCAATATATACTTGTTTACTTGGCTTTTGAATTGCTTAATTGCTTGCTTGTGTCCTTGTTTACATGCTTTCTACCCAGTTTCAATTTTTATTCGAACAACACGTGTAGATATAGATGAATGCCTTGACTCTCCGTGCCTTAATGAAGGAGTATGTAACAACACGATTGGAAACTACACTTGTACGTGTAATTCAGCCTGGCAAGGACAGAATTGCGACGAAGGTAAGACCAAGTGATGTACACTGTGTAGATTCATTGTAGATTCATTTTCGTTGTGAAAATTTTCTTCTTGTTCGACTGGTAGATGTGAACGAGTGTATAATCAACACGTGTCGTGAAGGAACAACTTGTATCAATACTCCTGGCAACTACAAATGCGAATGCTTCGCAGGATGGCAAGGCGATGATTGTAACAAAGGTAAGTTATTCACAGCATCATGCATGAATTGCGTGAATTTTCTCGCTCTGGCTGACGCTCTAACACCATTGCATTTTAATGCGTATTAAAATACGAAAATTTGCATCGATTTGCTTTGGCTTCAGAGCAGTATTACATGTATGATGTAATGACGATTGAGGCACATTTAGCAAGAAAGTTTCACCATATCAAAGCAACTTTAGAGTGAGAAAAACTAAATATTTCCACACGCAAATGTGGTAGAAATGTGCAATGTATTAATGACATTCGGCATTCAACTTGCGCAAATTGTTCATGCTTTAGCATAATTTCCTTCAGATGTCGATGAATGCGAAGGAAATCCTTGCCAGAATGGTGGTTTTTGCACCAATACGATAGGAAGTTACATCTGTGCTTGTACATCAACATGGAAAGGACAAAACTGCGATGAAGGTAAATGATTTTTCGCTGTTATTGCTGCTGCTGTTGTTTTTACTCTTGTTGGCTGTTGTAACTCCATGTGTGTTGCTGTACATAACGTTTTCTGGTGCCATTACTATGTAATTATTATCACGTATTATGTTTTTGGTAGTGGCAAAACCTTGTAATAACTTCAATCCTATTCACCATTGCAGACGTTGACGAGTGTGCCCTGAGAAATCCATGYAGAAATGAAGGAACGTGTATCAATCTGCGAGGAGGGTTCATGTGTTCTTGTAGTGATGCATGGAAGGGATGGAGCTGCAATGAAGGTAAGTTTGCTCACTGGACAATTTATCATCGTAACTCTTTCATAAGAAACACTGGCGCAGATGACTTAAAACTGAAGTAAAGAATTTAGAATGATAACAGCGTAAAGGAGTCAAGCGGAGACAAACATCAGCCAGCCAATAAGCAGACGCGGATATTTTGGGCCTCATTAGCACGTCGTGGCTTATGCACATGTTGTGTCTTCTTATGAAAACAGGGGCGGATTCAGGATTTTCCTCAGGGGAGGGGTGCGGAGCTCTCAAGAAGGGATGCACCCCACAAAAATCATTACTATTGAAGATACAAAATCTCAAGGGGGAGGGAGGGGATCCTTCTGTGGGCAATTCGACACTAATGGTATATATCAAATATTTGATCGTTTTTAACAGATGTCGATGAATGYCTTGTTTCCAATCCTTGTAAACACGATGGTTGGTGTGTTAACAACATTGGTAGCTACTCGTGTTACTGTAGTAATGGCTGGCAAGGCAAACACTGTGACGATGGTAATGTCATGTGATCTTCCATCCCTTCCTTTTGTCTATTCACCTTTTTTTCCCTTTTAGTTTTTTCTCTCTGGCTGAAACTTGATTCGTCTTATTTTTCTTTATGCTCTCTTTTTTTTCTTTTTTAAGAAAGAAAGCTTTCTTTTGTTTGTTTCTGTGTTTTTTGTGTGTTTTGTTTACAAAATCAATCGTCTTTTTTTAGATCTCGATGAGTGTTTTTTGAAGAATCCGTGCAAGCATAAATCCATATGTAGCAACACTGTTGGCAGTTATAGCTGTGCCTGCTTACCAGGATGGGCGGGCAGCAATTGTGAAGCCGGTGAGGATACTTTCTTGTCATTTCTTAGTTTTGGAAGAGTTGTATTTTGCATTTTGTGTTGTATAGATATCAACGAATGTCGWGAAAACCCATGCGAAAACGGTGGAACATGCGAAAACAATCCTGGAAGCTACAAATGTACTTGCAAACCTGGTTGGCAAGGTGAAAATTGCAAAAAAGGTAATCGTCTTTGCTTTGCACTGAGGTTCATTTATGATCATTGCTGTATTTTCTACTCTTTTCTGAAAGGCGTTACAGCGCTTTTTAAAATGGATGCCGGGATTTGAAGGTTTTAAACACCAGTTCTACTTAATACCATATTTTAATGTCGCAGATATCGATGAATGCTCTAAAAATCCGTGCAGGAATCAAGGAAATTGTGTAAATAGTGCTGGAAGCTACAGCTGTACTTGTATCACCGGTTGGAAAGGACAAGACTGTCAAACAGGTAAAGGGAAGACCTCCTGGTAGATTTTCAATGCCACCTCTAGCGTGCGATGTAAGTAATATTTTCAATAATTTATACACTAGATATTGAYGAATGTGTTTCGAGTCCTTGTTTAAATGGAGCTACGTGCACAAATATTGATGGAAATTATACCTGTACTTGCGATAAAGGCTGGTTTGGAAAACACTGTMATCAAGGTAATGACATCACTTTTCTAAATTTCTGTATTCGAGATTTTATGACTAGGTTTRTTTTCTATTGATTCAGATATCGATGAGTGTTTAGCAAGTCCTTGCCATAGTCTGTCAACCTGTACTAATACGCCTGGCAGTTAYACATGTACCTGCAGAAAGGGCTGGGAAGGTCAACATTGCAATCAAGGTAACTCAAATAAGCCGCAATAACAATCCCAATACAAACATTTTCTTAAGGGGTTTGGTGAATTAGTTTTGTGCTTCATAACAGCTCCATAGCTCCCCCTGAAAAAGCTTTCTGATAGTGAGATTTACATTTTAAGGTAAAAAACCTTTTATCGTAACAGATATCAATGAGTGCGTCGTGGCAAATCCATGCAGGAATCAAGGAAAATGTTCCAATTCACGTGGAAGTTATTCCTGTAGATGCACAGAAGGATGGAAGGGAAGTAATTGTGATATGGGTAAGAAATTTATAATTGATTGATTGATTGATCGATCGATTGATGCTTGCTTGCTTGCTTGTTTCTTTGCTTGCTTCCTTGCTTGCTTGATTGCTCGATCTATCGATCGATTGATTGATTGATTGATTGATTGATTGATTGATTGATTGATTGATTGATTGATTGATTGATTGATTGATTGATTGATTGGATGACTGATTGATGGATAG